TCCAGGCACGTCCCACTGGGAGGAGGCCCAGGGGGAGACCCAGGACACGCTGGAGGGACTGGGTTTCTGGGCTGGACCTGAATTCCCCTGCAGGTACCAAGTGGCTGAGGAAAGCGAGCTCTGAGCCTCCCTACTGAAGCTTCGACCCCCCGACGTTTTCAGATCTGATCGACTCCTGTCGAGGTCAGAAAGTCCTCCTCTGAACTTTACTTTTTTTCCCAAAACAGTTATTTGAGATTTTGTTTTTGTTTTTTTTTTAGTATTGATCAATGTTTTTTTTTGTATGATAGGATTGAAATTTTGAAAGTGAGAGTTACAAAAAGAAAGATCGGTAATCGGTGCACCTCTAACTGAACAGATTATTCATTTAGAGCAGAGCTTTCACATCCATATATAAATGCTTTCTCCTATTTCTGTTGATTTATCTGCTTTTGTTTTGTTTTCAGCTGAATGATGCAGGCTGTGTTTGTGATTTTTCCTCACCAACGCATTGATGTCCTCGGATTTGTAAATGAGCATTCGGATCTCTTCAGGGTCTCTGCTGAAGATCGCCTGGATGAGAGGAGGCTGGAGGGGGAGGAAACAGAGAGAAACGGTCACATGGCGTGAAGCAGAAACATTTCACTTAAACACTTTGTCAAAGCGGGGCGACGTGATGAGGGAGCGTGGGAATCCTTCCTCCACGTTGGGACTGGATTCCAGTCCTCCCAGCGCCGCTCTAAAAGCTTCTCCCAAACAGCCTAGATACAGATCAGAAAAATAAAACGCTTGTGCAGAGGAAGAGTGTTTGAGAAGAGTCACGTCTACAGGGCCTTAAGCTCCTTTGTACCAATAATGGAACTAAATTCATTCCATACTTTGCAGAAGTTGTACACTTTCAGAGTGGACATATCGGGTCTGATTCTGATTCTCAATTCTAGATAGATTTCGATTGTTTTTAGACTTAAAAAGGATTCAAACAGTCTCAGCATAAACTCTTACTGTATATAACCCTATTTTATCAGGACTAAACGGTTTTTGGTGTTTTTTGTAGAGGCATATAATGGGACTATGCACCTTTAATTTGTCCCAAACAGCATCTTCTGCCCCACAGTTTGCTCAGCATGCAGCAGACGACTATAATGTTGCAACTAGATGCAACTCTGCTGTACCATAAAGTGATTCTCTGTTAAAACTAGGATCCTACAGATTCAAAACTCCAATGCTGCATAAATAACTATGGTCCATTCAGAGGGTCCAAATATTTAATAAGCATTTACAAAATCTCCTCCCAGTATTTTATTTTGATGATCAGGCCAATCCTGTGAGTACCTCCTACTGGTCGGTTTTGCACGGCTATCACGTCTGTAGGTGTTTTTAAACATGTAAACCTTTTGGAGTCTCTAACGGTTAAAACCACAGGGCCTCTTATTGACAGTTAAGCAGCATTTTATTTAATTTAAATACAAAAAGAAAAAGAAAAATACAAATACTTCAACCTTTGGGTTAAATTTACGGAGTAAAACAAGCAGAGCGTTGCTCAGGCCAACTCTGCTGTGTTTCTGCCACCACCTGCCTACTTCCTGTTGCTTACTGTCTCCTTCTCAGAAACAGCAGAGAGGAACCTGCCGCAGAGCAGCGTTTCACTTCTGCTTCAGAAAGGCAGCAGCACTTCCTCATCGGACCCCAAACGTCCCTCTGAAAGTGACTGAGCTGTGGTGAGATCATCACACTGCTGCTCCGCATACCTGAGCCTGAACCAGAGGAGCAGCGCCTCCGTCTTTAACCTTCAACCCTGATAAGGATCTTTTTAATCAACATTATATTTATTTATTTATTCGTTTTATTTGAATTAGGGCAGTGTATATTAATCAATGTGTCGGCAATGCATCAACATAAATAAAAAAAAAATTTCGACTTTTAGTAACACTTTATTTACACAATTCAAACTATTATAAACAATTATGGACGTAAAACGCGTGTCAGCTAAAAATCATTAAATGAGGAACTTGTTCAATTGTAGTTGTCCTTAATCTGACTTGGTGCATAAAATGTTAAAACCCACAGCTGGATATAATCCTCCATGTTCTGTGTGTCTCTGTGGAAGTGAAACTCCAGCTTTATTCTGGCTTTAACCTCCACAGAGCATCAAGGTGAGCTCCTTCCTGCAGTCTGTCTCTGCAGGACAACTAACCGCCATCTTTGCTTCACTGGTTAAACCATTTAAAAGTCGGACCTTTGGCTTGTTTTTTCCCCAAACTCCTTCTATAGAAAAGAGTGTTTGTAAAAACTGTCCTTTTTGGGACAGTATGGGAATAATGTCGCAACATTATAAAGTCTTAATATTATGAGAATAAAGTTGTAACATTGGGAAAATAAAATCGGAACATTACGAGAATAAAGTCATAAATTTAAGAGAATAAAGTCGTAAATTTCTGAAAATAAACTCTTTATATTACAAGAATAAAGTCATAATATCATGAGAATAAAGTTGTAATATTGGGAAAATAAAATCGTAACATTACGAGAATAAAGTCGTAAATTTAAGAGAATAAAGTTGTAACATTGGGAAAATAAAATCGTAACATTACGAGAATAAAGTCATAAATTTAAGAGAATAAAGTTGTAAATTATGACAATAAAGCCGTAATATTACAAGAATAAAATTGTAAATTTATGAAAATAAACTTTTTATATTACAAGAATAAAGTCATAATATCATGAGAATAAAGTCGTAACATTGCGAAAATAAAGTCATAAATTTAAGAGAATAAAGTTGTAACATTGGGAAAATAAAATCGTAACATTATGAGAA